TCGACGTGTTTCCTTACACCTGTTGGCCTGTTCACCTAGCAGCAAATAGGTACCTGGTTGTTAGTAGACTGGTGTGGGTCGCATCCTGGGGGACAAGATTGAGGACCCCAATAGAAATAAGTTAGACAGTCCTCGATGACCCACTGACTTTCTTGGGTTATCCTGGGTGGCTAACCCTCCGGGGTTAAAAATCCGAACGGTATCTTATCAACCACTCGTTGTGCTGAATGACTCACGTGGGTTTACTGCTTCACATAGTTAATAATAATAATAATCCGTTAAAAATTTACAATTGCCTGCTAGGCCTCTACTGCAATTTTATAAGCCGGGATTCCAATACGGACGAAAATAATACAAAACTGATTGCCAAAAATATTTATTAAAAATTCAGTAAAAAAACAACAACTACACTTTATGTGGGGTAACCACTATAGTGTAATACTGACATTTACTGTGGAATTTTTGAGTCAAATCTGTTAAGCTCACGTGAACATGACTGTTACCTTCATCTGTCATGAGATCTTTCTGAACAAAGACGAGTGTAGACTTAATCCACTTCTTCGATGGTGGGCCCAGAGCTAGAGCCTGGAGCTCCGCCCTGAGGTCCTCCAGGCATGCCTCCTGGCATACCTCCCGGCATGCCGCCAGGTGCTCCACCAGCTGCAGCATACATCTTGGTGATGATAGGGTTGCATAGCTTCTCCAGTTCTTTCTGCCTGTGTTCGTACTCGTCCTTCTCCGCGAGTTGGTTCGTGTCCAGCCACTGAATGGTCTCGTTGCATTTGTCGATGATAGCCGAGCGGTCGCTCTCCGGGATTTTGTCTTTAAACTTTTCCTCTTCGACGGTCGACTTCATATTGAAACAGTAGGACTCTAGACTGTTCTTGGCGGTGATACGCTCGCGTTGCTGCTCATCCTCTGAACGATACTTTTCGGCCTCGTTGACCATACGTTCAATGTCTTCCTTGCTGAGACGGCCCTTATCGTTGGTGATGGTGATTTTATTTTCTTTGCCGGTAGATTTATCTACTGCTGACACATTTAGTATACCATTAGCATCAATGTCAAAAGTGACCTCGATTTGCGGTACGCCGCGCGGGGCAGGTGGAATACCCGTCAGTTCGAACTTGCCTAGCAAGTTGTTGTCTCTTGTCATAGCCCGTTCGCCCTCATACACCTGGATGAGTACACCCGGCTGGTTGTCAGAGTAGGTGGTGAAGGTCTGGGTTTGCTTGGTTGGGATAGTAGTGTTGCGCTTGATAAGAGCCGTCATTACACCGCCAGCAGTCTCAATTCCCAGTGAGAGAGGAGTGACATCAAGCAGTAACAAGTCTTGGACTGTCTCGGACTTGTCCCCAGAGAGAATGGCAGCTTGCACTGCCGCACCATATGCCACAGCTTCGTCAGGGTTAATCGATTTATTTAGATCTTTGCCGTTGAAAAAATCTTGGAGCAGCTTCTGTATCTTAGGAATTCTTGTGGAGCCTCCGACTAGTACAATATCATGGATCTGAGATTTGTCCATTTTAGCGTCACGCAGAGCCTTTTCCACAGGCTCCAGTGTTCCTCGGAACAAATCAGAACAAAGCTCCTCAAAACGAGCTCGAGTAACAGCAGTATAAAAATCTATGCCATCAAAAAGTGAATCTATTTCGATGCTTGCTTGTGTGGAAGACGATAAAGTGCGCTTCGCTCTCTCGCAAGCTGTCCTCAGACGACGAACTGCACGCTTGTTTGCAGAAAGATCCTTCTTGTACTTTCTTTTGAATTCTTGTACAAAGAAGTTAACCATTCTGTTGTCAAAGTCTTCACCACCAAGATGGGTATCACCAGCAGTAGATTTGACTTCAAAGATGCCGTCCTCGATAGTCAATATTGATACATCAAAAGTTCCTCCACCGAGATCAAAAATGAGAACATTACGTTCGCCTCCGACCTTCTTGTCGAGACCGTACGCAATGGCGGCTGCCGTAGGTTCGTTGATGATACGAAGAACATTCATGCCAGAGATGGTGCCGGCGTCCTTGGTAGCTTGTCTCTGGGAGTCGTTGAAGTAAGCGGGGACAGTGATGACAGCATCCTTCACCGTGTGCCCTAAGTACGCCTCAGAAGTCTCTTTCATCTTGATGAGAACCATTGAAGAAATTTCTTCAGGGAAGAATTTCTTAATTTCTCCTTTGTACTCTACTTCAATTTTTGGCTTGCCGCCCTCGTTGATGACGGTGAAGGGCCAGTGTTTCATGTCACTCTGCACCGAAGGCTCATCGAACTTACGGCCGATGAGTCTCTTAGCATCGAAGACTGTGTTGTTGGGGTTCATGGCCACCTGGTTCTTGGCGGCGTCACCGATGAGACGCTCAGTATCGGTGAAGGCCACGTACGATGGCGTAGTTCGGTTACCTTGATCGTTAGCAATTATTTCGACTTTGCCATGTTGGAAGACGCCCACGCAGGAGTAGGTGGTGCCCAGGTCGATACCAACTGCCAGTGCTCTCGCCATCTGTGAAAACAGTCGATCATCAATATAACAAACCAGTAAAAAGTAATTTAAATTAAAAGTAAAAGATACACTTCATAACTAACCCGCGATTTGGAGAGAACACTCTAGACGACGTTTCAGTCTGTCTTGGACTATTATTAATTCATTACTTAATAATGGTCCAGAGTGTCCCCCACAATAAGTGTCCGGGGCTCAATACTGTTCAATTGCCTCCCAGCATACATAAGGGATATTGCCAATAGACCCCTGGCTGTCTTCAAGAAGGCACTGGACAGGCAACTAAAGTCAGTACCTGACTAACCGGACTGTGGTTCGTACGTCAGGTTGCGTACGGCCAGCAGTAACAGCCTGGTTGATCAGACCCTGATCCATCATGACGCCTAGTCTCAGACCGGGCCGCGGAGGCGTTGACCCCCGAAACCCTCTCCAGGTAAACTCTAGCTCGGTTGACAATACACTTAGCTCACATACTGAGTGTCCTCGCTCCGATTTCCGGCATGAGTGGAAATGATGGGCATATTTCCTTACACCTGCTACCCTTGTTCGCCTAGCAATAAGTAGGTACCTGGGTGTTAGTCGACCTTGTGGGCCACATCCTGGGATTATTATTACAATCAAGGGGGAAGCGCTAAACCCGGAGGATTATACAGCGCCTGGGGGGGATGTGGAAGGCATTCAGGCTTAATTCGGGGAACTGGAGCACAGATCCAATTCCCTAAATCAAGAGCCCCTCACCAACATCAAGGAACCTTCCTTGAGGGGCACATCCTGGGAGGTGGTAGTATATCTTAAAAAAAGGCTGGGCTTTGAAATAAGCTGAGGTAGGATAACAGCTCAGCTTGTAAATTTCTTAAAAAAAAAATGACCGATAAGTAATTTTATATATCCTCTCCAGATTGTTGGATATTTGTGAATTGTTCCAGCCTCGGTATTATGACTTATTCTCCAACAGATACATAAGCAGAACTACTCTTCTACAGTTTTGAATACGTCACCTTTTAAACCAGAAATAAACAGACATGAATAACTAAAGTTTAATGAACACTTGTCAATTCTCAATAATAACCAACATGGAGACAGAAACAGAATATTTCGACCCCCTTTTGGGATTCTCTTCAGGAGATGAGGATCCCAGAACTGGGTCGAAATATACAGATCAATCAATCTCCTGAGATTCTGTCTCCATGTGGGTTATCATTGAACTTAAACAGATATATCAACCCACAAGTGTAATTTGCCTTTAAAATTTATAAATGAACTGGATCCAAACGACACATTGCCTACATAGCGTAGAAGAGACGTGCAGAACAAGTTCTTAATTAATGGGACAACGAGCTCGCTCTCTGCAGATTACTATTTGAAAACAAACGCTAAAGCCGTGTGGAGTTACACAACCGCTTCGTGAAGAAATTTACCAAGATGCGCAAGAATTAGCCAGGCGAGATAACTGACTCACAAATGCTCAAGAAATGTTCAAAAACTTTGAAAGAGATTTTGGAGTGCTTAACAATTCGCAAGCGGGCGAAATTACTCACAAACATTATCTCTCTCAGGCATTCGAAAATCTTTAAGTCTAGGCTTTGATGATATAAATTATCATAAGCCTGGTGATTTGAGGAATGGAATTCATCGCCTAGCTTTGGCTAGGCGCCCATGCTTATCTGGGGTCTGGCTGTGTGGTAAAAGCACAGTATACTTTGATGCGGAATGTGCAGGTTCGAATCCTGCTGCAGACTGGAGTTTACCTGGAGAAGGTTTCAGGGGTCAACGCCTCCGCAGCTCGGTCTGAGACCAGGTCTCATGGTGGATCAGGGTCTGATCAACCAGGCTGTTACTGCCGGGCATCGGCACGCACACTGACGTATGAACCCAACAGCCCGGTTGGTCAAGGTACTGTCTTAAGGTTGCCTGTCCATGCCTTCTTGAGAAGACAACCAGGAGTCCAATTGGTACTTCCTCCTTATGTATGCTGGGAGCAGTTGATACCTATCTTGGGCCCTGGACACTTATTTGTGTTGTCTCTCAATGTACTCTGGCGCCCCTGCTTTCCATCGGGGGAATGTTGCATCTCCTGCGAATCTTTGGCTTTCATAGGGAGTGATTTTCATGTGCAGGTTTGGCACTAATCCCTCCAGGACCTTACAAGTGTATATTACCATGTATCTCTCGCCTGCGTTCCAGGGAATACAGATATATATATACTTAACAATTCGTAAACAGGCGAAATTATTTACAAACCATTATTCTCAGTCCACAGTAGTATTTCGAACCCTGAGAGCATTCCGCATCAAAGTATACAGTACTTTTGCCACACAGACCCCAGAATAAGCATGGGCGCCTAGCCGAAACTAGGCGAAGTATCCCATATCCCGGAGCACAAGGCTTCCGATACGTTATTTCATATATAAATAAATAATATATAAAATATATATATATATATATATATATAAATATAATATAATATATATATATATATATAATATATATATAATATATATATATATATATATATATATATATAAAAATTATATAAATTAGAATCCATCTATAATTATAGAATTTGGGAAGAATTTAATCATACACTGGACAAATCATTTTTTAAAATTTTCTTGGGTAGAATAGGTTTGTGGGTGAGTTGAGCAAAGACCTATCCAAGTTGGGTCGGCGCGCGTCAGGTGTTAACTGATGTGGGATCTGATAGTGAGGTGCTGGCCAGACCCCTTTATATAGCTTCCTTGGATGCTTTACTTCATATTCCTTAGGATATATTGATATAGTCACGAAAGCGCTGGATAATTTCACTTTCTCTTCAAGTGGTTTTTTGCATATTCAGAAATCACCTGGTTACTGTGATCTATTGCATAATATATATATATAGTATATAATATATATATATATATATATATATAAATGTGTGTGTGTGTTTGTGTGTGAGTGTGTGTGTGTGTGTAGTGTGTGTGTGTGGTGTGTGTGTTGTGTGGTGTGTGGTGTGTGTGTCTGTGTGTTTGGTGTGTGTGTGTGTGTGTGTGTGTGTGTGTGTCTGAGTGTGTGTAGTGTGTGAGTGGGTGTGTGTGTACTCACCATTTGTACTCACCTATTTTGTGTTGACAGGTCGAGTCCTTAGCTTCCTGGCGTCCGTGCGCTCTTCACCGGTTGCTACAGAACCACAGACCCTCTCTCTCCCCGATCCATAGCATTAATCAAACCTCCGTCTTAAAAACTGTGTAGGTTTCCTCCTGCTCCACTACGTCATTTTCTACTATTCCACTGCCTTACAACTCTATGACTGAAGAAATACTTCTACTATCTCTCTTGACTCATTTGTGTCTTCACTTCCAATTGTGGCCTCTTTGTTTCTGTGTCCCCTCCCTGGAACATCCCTGTCCCTTGTCCACCTAGTACTATTCCACGCATATTTTATATGTCGTTTATCATGTCTCCCCTGACCTCCTTGTCCCTCCAGTGTCGTCAGCCGATTTCCCCTTAATCTTCTTCATAGGACATTCCCCTTAGCTCTGGAACTAACTTGTTTGCAAACCTTTGTACCTTTCTCTATTTCTTGCGTGCTTATCAAGTGCGGGTTCCAAACCAGGTGCTGCATACTTCCAGTTGGGCCTGACATAACAACGGTGTACAGTGTCTTGAATGATTCCTTACAAGTGTCGGAATGCTGTTCTCATTTGCCAGGCGCCATAATGCTGCAGCAGTTATCTGATTGATGTGTGCTTCTTAGACATGCTCGGTGTTATAACTCTCCGCCAAGATCTTTCTCACTTGAATTGTGGATTGCAGTCTTTGGCCACCTAGCCATACTCTGTCTGTGTCTTCTGTCGTCCTTCCCCTATCTTCATATGACTTTGCATTTGGCAGGATTAAATTCGAGAAGCCATTTGCTGTGACCAGGTGTCCAGTCAGTCCAGGTCTCTTTGAATCCTGCCTGGTCCCTCATCAGATTTAATTCTCCCCTACATAACTTCACATCTCTGCAAACAGGGACACTTCTGAGCTAACCCCTGTCCGTGCATGTCGTCACTATATAAACCAAAAATAGCACTGGTCCTAGGACCGACCACCCCTGTGGGTCCGCCGCTCGTCACAGTGCGCCACTGTGATACATCATTACGTACCATGACTCGTTGTTGCCTCCCTGTCAGGTATATCTCTGATCCATTAGCAGTGCCCTATCCGTTATATGCCCTGATCTTCTAGTCTTCTGCACTAAATCTCTTGTGAGGGAACTGTGTCCAAAAGCCTTCTTGCAGTCCAAGAAGATGCACTCAACCACCCCTCTCTCTCTTGTCGTACTTCTGTTATTATTTATCAAGAAAACTCCAGAAGGTTTTGACACATGATTTGCCTTCCGTGAATCCGTGCTGGGTTGGCAATTTATAACTCTCTGTTCCGTTCCAGGTCTCCACCACCTCACTTCCTGATAATCTTCTCCATAATTTTGCATAACTATACACGCATGACACAGGTCTTTAGTTTAGTGCCTCTTTTCTGTCTCCTTTTTTTTGAAAATGGGGAACTACATTTTGCCGCGTCTTCATACCTCAGGGTAGTTCCCAGTATACCAGGGATGTGTTGAAGATTGGTGGTAAGTGGTACGCACCAACATAACTGCTTCCCTCGTCTAAGGTCACCATGGAGAGATGTTGTCCCGCGGTCCCATTGCCTTTGAGGTACCGATGTCCCTTAGCAGTTTCTTCTTCACCTCCTCCTCCAACTGTAGTATGTCGTCCCAACACTTGTTGGGGTATTCCTTGTTGGTGTCCCCATCTGGTCTGTCCCCCCAAGAGTCCTTTCCTTCACTACTGTAAATAACTTCCTTAAATCCGAGTGTTTAGCATCCTCACATACCTCTTGTGACTTTTCTTGTGAGTTCGCCACCTTCTTCCCTCAGCCTTATCGCACCTGGACCTTGACTGTGTCTTCCTCCTAATGTGGCTATACAGCAGTATTCGGGTCAGATTTGACTTTTCGGATGCTATGTCGTTTTC